ACTTCGCAAGTGGAGAACCAGTGTTGACAGGGCCAATTCAATCAGGGTGGATGTAGTCCACTCCCAATAATAGATGGGATAAAAATAAGTGAGTTTTTTACTCACGAAAGCTTATGCCCAAATGAATCTGTTAGTCTCTAAGGTGCCACCAGACTCCTTGTGTTTTTTGTAGATACAGACTAACACGGCTACCCCCTGATACTTGCCTTCTCATAGAATCTTGAAATCTATCATTTCATGATCACTTTTGCCCATATTGCTTTCCACCTTCAGTTTCCTAACTAACTCCTAACTCCTTCTTGTTAGTCAGAATCAGGTGTAAAATGGCCATCCTCCGGATACTTCTTCAATCTTCTGAAAGAAACAGGAGTCCCCAGCACATTGCAAGAACTTATTGGATACTTTGTGTTTGGTTGAATTATCTTTTCTAACAGATGTCTGGGTAGATAAAGTCCCCCTCCCCCCATTACTAGCTATGTTTTGAATTTTTCTATTGTATGCATGACAGTCTAGAACATCAGTGTGCAGGGAAAGAGCCTGGGGGGAATTGTGCCTATTCTGACATGTTTCTTATCGCTGTTTGTGCCCTAACAGGCTGTGTCATAACATCCCTGTTTTGCTCCAGATCATTCCATCCTTCCAGGGAACAGGGAAGGGAAATGGCTGCAGTGGAGCCAGTTGAGGTAGGGATTATCAGGGATTGCTGGTGGGTTCCCTTTGGCGGGAGAAGGGCTGTAAATACATAGGAGGAGGGGACCTTTGCGGGGGTTGGTCAGGAAATACACCAGGTGGAGAAAGGGAGGGGGACAGGGTCTGATAAACCTGCTGAGATTTGTTTACTGTGAGGCCTAGATCCTAGTAATAGACCCATGGACTTGTGGGTGGGAATTCCCTGATTTGTGAAACAGAAAACAACCCTGCTGGACTGGGCTGGGAAAACTTACCAGACTCCAGTACTGGAGCCTGAACCTATTAGGCCTGATCTGAGTTATAAAGGGGCACCCACCAGTGAGGCCCAGGGAAGACACCCCATCCCTACAATATGGTTTCTGGCAATGGGGAGGGGGTTCCGATTCACACCAGGGAGTTGTCCCTGGACCCTGTTTGGGGCTCCATCTCCTGTATCAGCCTCTGGCTAGTAGGTGAGCAGTGAATGTGAAGACCCCTGCCCCCTCTGTCTGCTGGGAGGGCTGAGGGGCGTTCTCTTTCTCCCCTCACCCTCGGGCTTCCTGGCTGCTCTGATGGGGTAGGTGTGGGACTATGTTGCCTGCCTGACTCCCAGAATTCCCATGTGATTGGCCCTTCTCCCTTGGGAGTAGTGGGGTTGTCACTGGGCACCAGGTACTGAGTAGGGGGCTTTGCTCTTTCAGGGGCCGGTGGCCTTCGAGGAGGTGGCTGTGTATTTCACCAGAGAAGAGTGGGCTCTGCTGGACCCCACTCAGAGAGCCCTCTACAGAGATGTCATGCAGGAGAACTATGAGAATGTGACCTCGCTGGGTAAGGATTCCTGTCCTCTCGATTATCAGAAGGGAAAATGAAGAGTTAAGGTTCACAATACCTCGCGATGCAACCTCAATTCTGCCTTGTTTCAGCAACATACCAACAGGCCAGTGACACATATACTAGTATTCTACCCTCCCTGCTACAGAACACTTTAGGAACAGAGCAGAGGAGCAGGATAGCACCAAGTCTAATATCTTCTCTTTGCTCAGGCAAAGGTTAGGATTAGGTCCAGTGTATGGAACAGAAGCTACCTACACCTGGCCTGCACTCAAACATTGAGCCTACTACCCACAATCCATCTCACGCTTTCCTAATGTTACCACCCCTTTACCCTTGCAGTGAGGATTCCTTATGAGTCATTGCCTTCACTTACCCCTCACTATGGCACCAGACTACTGACAACCCTCGTGGGAAGAACACACCCTTGTGCACCTTTATTGACACAACCTACAACACTCAGCACTGAAATTAGGAACATCTGTTCCTTCAACTGTCACATGCACCTCTCTTCATATCACAGTCACAGCTCTGCCAAACTGCTCCAACAATTCCTTCCACCGTTCATTTAAAGCTACAGCCGACACAGTGCACGTAGCAGGAGTGCATGCAGATAAAGGCTGGCATTCAAATCTGTACAACGCAACACAAACAATGGCATGTTCTCTTAGTTCTTCCTCCTGTTAATTATTCATCAACACATTTGAATGCCAGGGAATACGATTAGGTCATCCGTCTGACCTCCTGTATAATACAGGCCATACCATACAGCTTCATCTATTTATCATTGTAGTGAGATGAATACCTGGTGTTTTCATGAAAATATCTTCCAGAAAGGCATCCAGGCTTGCTTTGAACAGTTCAAGAGATGGAAGATTTGCCACTTCCCTGGTAGTTAGTTAACCTTTGTACCACCCTTACTGACCTATTTCCAGTGACATTTGCCAGTTCCAGAATTAGGAGATGGGGCAGAGTTAAGGTTGCATTGAGTGGCTGGTGTGTAGTTTTTCTTCTCATTTGCTGGTTTTCAGAGGTTTTAACTATCTCCACCATTCACATGCTGGAAGGGCATGAGGCAGCCCTGGCAACGAAAATGATCAGGGGGCTGGGGCACATGACTTACGAGGAGAGGCTGAGGGAATGGGTTATTTAGTCTGCAGAAGAGAAGAGTGAGGAGGGATTTGATAGCAGCCTTCAACTACCTGAAGGGGGGTTCCAAAGAGGATGGAGCTCGGCTGTTCTCAGTGGTGGCAGATGACAGAACAAGGAGCAATGGTCTCAAGTTGTAGTGCGGGAGGTCTAGGTTGGATATTAGGAAACACTAGTTGACTAGGAGGGTGGTGAAGCAGTGGAATGTGTTACCTAGGGAGGTGGTAGAATCTCCATCCTTAGAGGTTTTTAAGGCCCGGCTTGACAAAGCCCTGGCTGGGATGATTTAGTTGGTGTTGGTCCTGCTTTGAGCAGGGGATTGGACTAGATGACTTCCTGAGGTCTCTTCTAACCCTAATATTCTATGTTTCTATGATTCTATTCTATGACATCCTTAACTCTGTTTTAATGTAGTTTCTTGACATTTAATTTCCTTGATTTCTTTTTAATGGACTTTTTTTGCCAGTATAAGTTTGTCTACATTAGAGCTTTTACCGGCAAACTATGGTAGGTAGGGATATGATTTTTCACACCACTAACCGACAGCAATCCTGGCAAAACTCTTAATTAACAGCCAGTCTAATATCTCCGTGTAGATTTGAGAGTACTTTAAAATATTGTTCTTAACACAGAAATGTTGGAAACTTCAAAGAGAGACTCCTCAGAATGCAAGCAAAATCCACAACACACATTGTCTGAAAGTTGTCAATGATAGGGCTCATACTCAAATGCATGATGTAGCTCAGGTTCAAGGCCCTAGCATGTCCTCTTGAGCCAACCAATTACTCTGACAGCAGACTGCTGGAAACCCTCTAGCTGTTAAAAGACCTTCATCTTTCTGCACATGTGAATTTCCATCTCTTTGATCTATCATTCATCAGCCATCTCCTCGAAGGTCAACGACCCCTGAAAGAGCAAATGCCCACACTCAGTACCTGCTCCTTGAAGGAGGAGGCTTTTAGGTTTATTAGGAACTGGGGAACCTCTTGGGAAAGGAGGAGCCTGTACAGGAAGGATGGGGTCCACCTAAACCAAAATGGAACCTGACTTCTGGCATGTAAAATTAGAAAGTTTATAGAGGAGATTAAATTAAGGGCAGGGGGAAAGGCAACAGGTGTGGAGGAGCACATGGTTCAGATGGAGTTTTCCCTTAGAGGAGGATCTCTTAATGGGGATTCCCTGTATCCTAGTAAAGAAGAGCGGCTAGAAGTTCATAAAGTACAGGTAATAACTGAAGAGAAACAGTTAAATGAAAGAGAGTCCTGTTCCATTACATCACATGAAGTCAGACAGCTAAATATTGACAAAATTTTTAGAAGGCTAGATACTAAGATGGGTGAACTTGAGTGCCTGGATTTAAATGAGAATATTGAAACAATAGGTATCATAAAAACTTGGTGAAATAATGATAATCAATGGGACATGGTAATACCAAGATACAAACTATATAGGAATGACAGAGTAGGTTGTGCTGGTGGGGGAGTGGCACTATATGTGAAAGAAAGAATAGAGTCAAATATAGTAAAAAAAAAAATAAATAATTCATACTGTGCCATAGAATTTGTATGGATAGTAATTCTGTGCTTGAATAATAAGAATATAGCAGTAGGAATATGCTACTGACCATCTGACCAGGATAGTGAATATGAAATGCTCAGGGAATTAGAGGCTATATGAATAGAAATCTCAATAATAATGGGGGATTTCAACTATCCCCATGTTTACTGGGAACATGTCACCTCAGGGTGGGATGAAGAGATAAAGTATTTAGAAACCATTAATGGCTGCTTTTAGGAGCCCCTAATCCTGGAACCCACAAGGGGAGAGGCAGTTCTTGATTTTGTCCTAAGTGGCACACAGGATCTGGTCCAAGAGGTTAATGCAGTTGAACTATTTGGTAATAAAGACCATAATATCATTAAATTTAACATCCTTGCGAGGGGGAAAATACCAAAGAAGTCCACTGCAGTAGCATTTAACCACAGAAAGGGGAACTACACAAAATTAAGGGAACAAATTAAATGGAAATTGAAAGGAACACTCACAAAAGTGAAATGCCTGCAAGCTGCATGAAAACTGTTTAAAAACACCATATTACAGGCTCAAAATAAATGTGTACCCCAAATGGGGGTGGGGGAAACTGTAAGAGGACTAAAAAGTACAACAACAGCTAAGGCAGTTAGAGGCAAAAAGCCATCTTTTAAAAATTGGAAGTCAAACGCTACTGAGGAAAATAGAAAGGAGCATAAACTCTGGCAGGTCAAGTGTCAAAGTATAATTAGGCAGGCCAAAAAAAGAATTTGAAGAGCAACTAACAAAACTCACTGAAACTAACAACAATTTTTTTTTAAGTACATCAGAAGCAGGAAGCCCTGCCAAAGAATCAGTGGGACCACTGGGTGATTGACGTGCTAAACAAGCACTCAAGGAAGCCAAGACCATTACAGAACAACTAAATTAATCCTTTATATCAGTCGTCACTGCAGAGGATGTGAGGGACTTTCCTCTACCCGAGCCATTCTTTTTAGGTGACGAATCAGGAACTGTCCCAGATTGAGGTGTTGATAGAGGAGGTTTTGGAACAAATTGATAATTTAAACATTAATAAGTCACCAGCACTAGATGGTATTCACCCAATAGTACTGAAGGAACTCATACATGAAAAGTGCAGAACTACTGACTACAGTATGTAACTTGCCACTTAAATTGGCCTTTTTAACAAATGATGGGTGATAGCTAATGTAATACTAATATTTTTAAAAGGCGCCAGAGGTGATCGTGGCAATCAGAGGCTGGTAAGATTAATTTCAATACAGGGCAAACTGGTTAAAAACTATAGTAAATAAGAGAATTATCAGACACATAGGTGAACATGATTTGTTGGGGAAGAATCAACAAGGATTTTGTAAAGTCAAATCAAGCCTGACCAATCTATTAAAATTCTTTGAGGCAGTCAACAAACGTGGACAAGGGCAGGGTCGGCTCTAGGTTTTTTGCTGCCCCAAGCAAAAAATTTTTGGCTGCCCCTCACCCCAGCCCTGGGCTCTCCCCCCC